GACTCATCAGCTATATTTACTTCTTCAACTAGCAATAGACTGTCATTGTTGATGATTAAATTCTATATACCAAGGTTTGAGGTGAACTATAGGCCTCTCAACAGTGTCATTGCTTCCACATCTTCGACTTCAAAAGCTTCGTTCTCTTCTTTACTTAAAGCCATAACTACATCCCCATCAGCATTCCTGAGTATAGCACCCGAACCGGATTTTTTATAATAAAAAAAGACTGCCCCATCAATGTTAAGCTTGAAAAAATTTGTAGAAGGAGATTTCCAGAGATGGTCTTTCTGCATAGCTTTCTTTTGCATAGGAGAACCATAACCTTTTTGAGAGAGGGCAAAAGAGATCACATGGTAAGGATGGATACTCACATTCTCATACAGCATTTTATTCCTCCTGTACCACACGACCTACGCCGTAAGAATAAACTCTGTAAGTTCCTCAGTGCTCCCCTTAGAATACACCTCCTTAACTGCATGCATGACGAATTCAGGTGGCTCGTAGTGTTGAAATCTTTTTGTCCCGTATGCTTGTATTTTAGTGCAGGTAAATAATGCATGAATTAAATCTTCGTGTTCCTGCTTACAGAAACTACATACTGGGTCGAGGAGAACCTTTTTTTCTAACGGGTTCAATTTTGGAGGGAGAGCCTCCTTACGAGCCCTCCATGCAAATATTCTCACCTTATTTGGGATTTTTAGCTTCCAAATATCATTCCAGAACTTCCTTGAATCAGTTGCATGTAAGGGTTCACCTTGGCTTGTAGTTTCAATGTTCATGAAAAATTTGTATGCTGATTTAACTGTAAACACCCCATTTCTCTCATGTTCCCAGATCCATTTATCTGCATCACCCGAAGCCGATGGATAAGTCTTTAAAATTGTTGCTGCTACATTTGGATTGAAGAGAGTTCTAATGAGATGAATATTCCACCATTTAGTGGACTGATCAATTAGAAAATCCAATGTAGCTTCCATAATATTCGTTTCACCCTAAGGAAGGCAAAAAAGCTCGGCG